TTGTTGTTGTTGTTGTCAGGTGCCAATGAGTTGGAACCGACTCATAGCGACCCCATGCACAGCAGAACGAAACAATGTCCAATCATGGACCAACCTCACTACTGCTGCCACACTTGAGTCCATCAATGATGCCACCTGGCTGATCCATCTCGTTGGAGGTCTTCCTCTTTTTCTCTGACCCTCTATCTTACCCAGCATGACATCCTTTTCCAGCGACTGTTCTCTCCTGACAACTGTCCAAAGTATGAGAGATGAAGCTTAGCAATCCTGACCTCCAAGGAGCACTCTGGCTGCACTTCTTCCAAAACAGATCTATTGGTTCTTTTGGCAGTCCATGGCACCCTTAGTATTCTCCTCCAACACCACAACTCAAAGGCATCAATTCTTCTACAGTCTTCCTTATTCATTGTCCAGCTTTCACATCCATATGAGGTTATATATATAGTTATAGCTATATCCGATAACTAGCTTTTTCCTTGTGTAAGTGATTATAACAGCACAACTGCTTCAATCCATGGGTGATTTTTATCCCATCCAGAAACTAAAAATTCCTCTTGCTCCAAAAACTAAATGTTCCTTTTCTCTAAAACCACATATTTCAGTGAGTCAGGGCTTTGTAGTGAACCCCACCATTCTGACATCCAATTGCATGAACAATTTCTTTTATAAATATCAACAAAAGGTTGCTTCTTATGAGATAGAAGTTAAAAATATACCAACTGTTGGACTTTTCTCACATTTTATGCCCCTCCATAGTCTCTTGATAACACTCACCATTCCTCCCTTCCCTAAAGTCCAAGGATTCTGCAACAATGAATCACAAAATTGTGAATACTGAGAAGTCAAAATATATAGTTCAGAGTTGAGTCTGGACGAATCTTGTCACCTATGTAGTCTCAGGAGCTAAGGAACCCAAATTGGCAGGTCAGATGATAGGCTGTTAATGTACAAGGATGTCGGAAATGGCGAATCAGTCAGTTGATGAGTGGAAAGTCCCATGAACTGGAGGTCAGACATCATGAGCCAGATGTAAGATCCAAGGCAATAGTGAGCATTTTTCCAAAGCAGTCTTATAAATTAACATCAGACCATGCCCCCAAGGGTGATGTGAGTCACACTACTAAGGTGAGGGCACTCTTGATACTTAGATCCATAAGTAACATCTACTCCTTGTTTTTGTTGTTAAGTGCTGTCGATTTGGTTTCGACCCATAGCAACCCTGTGTAGGGTTTCTGAGAAGCTGTGGAAGAGCTTGAACCACTGATCTTGCAGTTAAAATAAATTTACTCCTTAGATTCACCTTAATCTTTACTCTTTAACAACTCATTTCAAAATGAGTCCATAATCACAGGCATAGAAACAAAGCCCGTGGATTTACAATGTATCAAAAGTGGAGAGATTTGGCTACAAGGGCCATGATAAATAACTAGCAGTGCTGCAACATAACATAGCTATTGTGCAAATTGATCATCAAAATTGACATGTCCTAGAATACTGGTTCAAACTCACCAGGCACACCCTGGAAACTCTATACAGGGTTGCTAGGAATTGGAACTGACTTGACAGCACTTAACAACAACAGAATAATACCAATATCTCATTAAAAATGTGACAAAGAACCCAATGTTCAGATATGGAAATTTGATATTGAAACCTAGGAGAACTACAAATAGAATTCATCCAAAGAGACAAGAATTTAGGTTTTGACATGATTAACAACCCAAACATCAAAGAAGATGCAACATGTGTTGATATTAGGCTATTCTGCTGAGGAACTTCTGCAACGCTCTCTTAATGTCCCTGTTCCTCAGGCTGTAGATATAGGGGTTTAGCATTGGGGTGACCACAGTGTACATTACCGAGGTCACTGCACCCTTCCTGGCAGAAGATGAGACGACTGAACTGAGATACGCTCCAATACCTGTACCATAAAATAAGCAAATGACTGACAGGTGAGAAGCACAGGTGGAAAAGGCTTTATATTTCCCACTGGAAGATGAGACTTTCAGGATGGAAGAAACAATTCGAATATAAGAGAAAAGGACCCCTGTGGCTGGAACACCAGCAAAGACGGCACCAATACAATACACTAATATGATATTAGTGGAGGTGTCAGAACAGGCCAGGTTAAAGAGTTGAGGGGGATCGCAGAAGAAATGAGGGATTTCCACATCTGTACAGAAGGTAAGCTGTGATACCATTGAAATGTGTAACTGGGAGTCCAAAAGACTGATGAAAAAAGCTACCAAAACTAGCAAGCCACATAGGCGGAAGTTCATGATGACTGTGTAGTGTAGAGGGTGACAGATGGCCACAAACCTGTCATAAGCCATCACTGTCAGGATAAGACTGTCCAGACATCCAAAGAGATTTAAAAAAGATACTTGTGCCAGGCAGCTTGCATAGGTGATGGATTTGCTCTGTGTCTGGATGTTCACCAGCATCTTTGGTACTGTGGTGGAGATTAAACCAATGTCAGTCAAGGACAGGTTGGAGAGGAAGAAGTACATGGGGGTGTGGAGATGAGGGTCGGTACTGATGGCCAGGGTGATGAGCAGGTTACCAAGCAGAGTGATCAGGTACATGACTAGGAAGAGCCCAAAAAGGAGAGGCTGCAGTTCTGCATCCTCAGAAAGACCCAGGAGGAAGAATTCTGAGATTCTTGTTACATTCTTTGGCTCCACATACCTGAGATGATTTTTAGAAAAAGAAAATAGATGGTTAAAAGGAAATACATCAATAGGCTCCCAGCACTGTGTCTGTATTTGTAATTCAGGAAATTCACAAACACAAAAGTTCACAAATATTTCCATTTGAGAACTGAATATCACAATACCATTAACAATATTTTTCGGTTTAAGAAAACCCAGCCATTGTACTTCTCATTGTTTTCTATGATATTCACCTGTTTTTGTACACACCTACTTTAGAGACTCTGGCAAAAAAAAAAAAAAAAAGTTAGAATAGCAAGGTCAATTTAAGATAACAAATACATAAAACCAAACCCACTGCCACTGAGTGGATCCTGACTATTCGTTACCATGTAGGACAGAATCCTGTTGTGCTACTACAGGGTAATGCACTGGACCATAAGGTCAGTTTGAACCACAAGGTCAGTGGTTCAAACCCACCAGCTGTTCCTCAAAAATACTATACACAGTTCTTATGATTCAGAGCCTATTCAACAACACTTAAAAATAGCAACAGAACCAAGTAGACCTGTCCCATAGGGTTTCTTTGAGATTGTAAATCTTATCAAGAGCAGGCAGCCTCAGATTTCTCTGACAGAGCAGCTGGTGGGTTTCTACTGCTGATTTTGAAGTTAGTGTAATGCTTAAATCACTGCTCCACCAGGGATCTTAATAAATCCATAGCAGGAGCAGTATACCACCCCCTTCAATGAGGGTAACATATGCAATAAGACATATCCTTCATTTATGAAAAAATAATTTCAAAGGACACCAAGAAGCACTTGTAGTTCCAAGTTGGATAAATGGTTAACACACTTGACTGCTTACCAAAAAGTTGGGGTTCACCCAGTGGTGGCTTAGAAAAATGACTTGGTGATCTATTTATGAAAATCAATACTTCAAAACTCCAGGAAACTAAGTTCTACTCTGAGACCAACAGTGTCACCAACTGACAGAGTCTATTTAATAGCCACTGGTTATTCCATTTAAGTTGTCAAATGTACTTAATTTGTTTTGGAAAAAAGAAAAACAAAAAAAACAAAAACAAAAAAACAAAAAACAAAAACCAAGGCAATAAAATTCCTTACTTCGGGATATTTACATAACAACAAATAAGGGGAATAAATAGTTGATTCTGACTGAGGGTGACCCATGACTTACTGCATCATTCTGTTGCATAGTGTTTTCTAGACCTTAATCATTGCAGAAAAATCATCAGTACTTTTATGGCACAGATGGTCTATTCAAAACATCAGCATTTAGGTTACCAAAGCTCACTCTAATAGCTCATCCAGTGTATGTACTAGCTGGATTCTAAGTTATTATCAAATGTTTATAATCAGAGCACATTTTTATAAGTTAACAATCTTCACAGGTTTTCATCATTCTTTGGTTTTCTGGCATCCATCTTATTTGAAGATATAGGGTTATTCAGTTACGTGGGTTGTCTTTAAAATATCTATCTATCTATCTATCTATCTATCATCTATCTATCTATCTATGTATATATTATTTGACTCAAGTGTACATTAACTTTTAATAACTATGTGTTTGGTCCACCACCTGTCTGCCAGTTTGTCATAATGTGGTGCCCTGTGTGTTTCTGTGATGCTGGAAGATAGGCTAACGGCATTTTAATATCAGCAGGGTCAGCAATGGTGAACAGCTTTCAGCTGAGCTTCCAAACTAAGACAGACTAGGAAGAGGTAGAGATGAACTAGTTCTGAATGTTTAGTCACCAAACATCTTATGAATAGCAGCAGTACATTGTCAGAAGGTGAAACATTATGAATAACATAGAAAACCTACACATATAGTGCTGGTTGAAAAACACTCAAAATGTGACTGGGGATGAAGCTGCCTACTCAAATTAGAATTGACCAAAATGATGCAAATGTAGTAAAGCTTTTGAGACCTTCATTTGCTGATGAGAAATGGTTATAAAATTTTCATTAATAATCAAAATATGGAATGCACAAACTAAGTGTAACAACAATTATGAGGAAAGTGCAGGACTTGTATTGCTTATTTTGACTGTCCTTTTTCCAACACAAATTTTTTCAATCCCCTGGCAGTTCTGGTATATTTAATATTTTTTACCATAATTCAAAGACATAGGGTTTTTTGTCATCTATTCTTTATCCACCTTTTACACACAGATGAGGTAATTGAAAATCCAATGGGTTCGGTCAGGTGCACCTTAGAGTTCAAAATGAAATGTTTGGTTTTTGACACTTAAAATAGATGTTTGAAGCAGATATGTGCAATGCAATTCATTTCTTAAATTCTTACCTGTTGCTTCTATGAATGTTTAATCTGGATCTAAATAAAATAAACCCTTGACTATTTTATCATGATGTGGCTTATTGGTCTAGTTGTGAGTATGAGGACTTTTGTTTTATTTGCATTGAGGGGTAATACATACTGAAAGTTGAAGTCTTTGATCTTCATCAGAATGTGCTTCAAGTCCTCTTAGTTATTTGTGGGCCCTCTGTGTATGACCAGCTATTAAAAAGCCTTTCTCCAGTTCTAATGTCACAATCTTCTTCATAAAGTCCAAGTTCTCTGATTTTTTTCTCAGTATACAGATTGAATAAATATAGTGAAAGGATACAATCCTGAAACGTACCTAGCTACAACCTTTTTGTTTTTAAGTGTCATCGATTGGTTCCAACTCATAGCAACCCTGTATAGGAGCAGCTAAGGTTTGACACATTAATTTTGAGGTTAGCAGTACAGTACTTATCCTACAGTGTTACAATTGTTGTTGTTGTAAAGTGCATCAAGTCAGTTCTGACTCATAGTGATCCTGTATATGGTTTCTTAGGAGTGGTTGGGTTTGAACCACTGACTCTGTTATCAGTCTATTTATTTTGGTGTTATTTATTTGTCCAGTGGTGAGGATTTTGTTTTCTTTACATTGAGATCCAATCCATACCAACCCATAGCATTTAGCACAGTTAGCACTTCAGTGTTTTTACTACAGGGCCCATGAGGTCTGCAAATCAAGATAAACAGAGAAAAGATTGATGTTGTCAAAGACTTCATTTTACTCAATCAACCATAAATATTCATGGAAGCAACAGTCAAGAAATCAAATGCTGTATTGCATTAGGTAAATAAGCTGCATAAAACCTCCTTAAAGTGTTCAAGAGGACTAAGGACCACCTGACCCACATCATGGTATTTTCAATAGACTCATATGCATGTGAAAGGTGGACAAGAAATAGGGAAGAATGTAGAAAAAATTAATTCATTTGAGTTATGGTGTTGGAGAAGAATATTGAAAATACCATGGACTACCAAAAGAACAAACATACCTGTGCTGAAGTACAGCCAGAGTGCTCCTTAGAAACCAGGATGGCCAGAGTTCATCTCTTATACTTTGGACATATTGTTAGGATAGACTAGTCCCTGGAGAGGGCTATCATGCTTGGTAAAGTGGAGGGTAATGACCATGAAGAAGATCTCCAACAAAATGGATTGGACCAACGGCAGCAGCACTCAAGCACAGTACTGGTTGTGAGGTTGGCACAGGACCAGTGTTTCATTCTGTTGTGCAAAAGGTCACGATGAACCCATACTGACTACAGTCACCTAATAACAATACTTCATAGAAAATACTATAATCCATGAAACTCATGCTTTGGAGTTCATTGTAAAATATTTGACACATTTTCTTAGGAATGAAATTCAAATGCAAGATAGAGGTTGACATATAGCTACAGAGACCTTAAGATAGAGGTTGACATATAGCTACAGAGACCTTAAGTAAAGCATACAGGATTCATTATTAAATTGGAAATCCCTAAGGCCCATATATTAACCATGTTCACTCTGTTTAATTATATTTCAAAATGTTTAATACAGAAATCCAAGGAGTTTAACCAAAGACATATCTAAGTTATACCTGTAAATTGATTCTAATTTTTCCTGACAATAAATAGGACTCAACACCCTGGCTTTAGATGTATCTTTGAGATCTACATAGGCCAAATTTCAAGAATGAAGGAAGAAGTGGCAGTTGAGACAAAACCAGGGGGCAAGGGCAAGAGAGCAATCTATTCTGAACTCTCATCTGCAAAATCTTTCTTTTATTTTCACCTGTGATCTCATTCATCTCTCCTATAACCAATAAAACAAGGAGCAAACTCTGCTGTCCAGTGTGTTACTACCCTCCCCATGAGAGGGATGCATTCCCTGTGTTGGTTAAAACTAGAACTGATATACAAAAAACCAAATGCTAAATGAGTCTTCTTGGACCTCTACTAGAACCAGAAACAAACTACATATATTTTGGAGTTGAAACTTAATACTTCACAACCTCCCATTTGGGCACTCCTAGTGTGCTGCTTGTCATAAAGGGGAATAAATAATCCTGCCCAGCTCATTGTCCCCCACATAACTCACTGGATTACACTGGGTTTCTGCTGGAGCATAACCAAGGAGTGTGCATCCACCACCTGTCTGCCTAGTATTTGATGAGGGCCAAGGCTGCTTCCTCAGAATTGGCAGGAAGAGAGACTTAGGCATGGACCTTCTGAGAAAGATGACCACTCCAGAGGAGATGCACAGGTATGCAGTGTGCTGGACTGAGATGGACAAACTGAAGGTGTGCAGAGCACAGGTGGGCTATTTATAGTTGTTTGGCCCTTGGAGTCCAATGCCCAGAGCATACAATTAGACAAATTGGTACATGCTAATCCAATCTCTGATGGCTTATTAATATTAATGAACAGGAAGAGAAAAAGATGAATGTCCCTGGAATCTGGGCATTCCAATTCTAAGGGGGAAACCTGGTTATCTTCCTTAGTCTATCATATAAGTTGTACAGATATTAACATAAAAATCAGACACTTTAAAAATGTTTTCAACAACAAAAATCTATGCATGATATGTTTGTCCTATTCCCATTCAATTATCTATGTAAAATAGGGAAGAATAGGTCTTCTATGGAATCCTGGAATTAGCACTATAGGAGATGAACTTGACTGCAAAATTTGATTTGAACAACAATGTCTGTGGTTCAAACTCACCAGCTACTACTTGGGACTGTATATACTGTAACTAAGAGTGGTAATGGACAACAAGATATTCTCTACTGTAGATCTGATACTATTTTG